TCTATCGGTAGCGGTCGCTTCGCCATTTTGGATTCATATGACCGCTTGCTCGTTTGCCACCTTGTGACATAAAAAAAAGATGTCTGAATAATTATTGTTTAATGTATGATATCATTAATAGTTAAATTGATGACAGCATTTATGCATAACATAGACAATCAAATCATCGTTGAAATTCTCTATGAAAACACTAAGTCAAATATTTTCAATTTTAAGACCTGTCCATTCTTAAAGTATGCTTACTCTTTGTTCCAAACCCGAAGACAAAAATACACATGTGCTAAAACTAACGAAATTCAAAAACATATCCGTTTTTGACTGAATTCCCAAAAGAAGGATTACTAAATCCTACAGATCCTAAATCGAATTGTACTCAATTCGTCTGTATGTTTTTTTTTTCTCATAAGCTTTACAACATGAGCATTTTTTAACGACATAAGCACCGTAATGCGATGGTCTAGGCTAGGTTTACGGGACAAAGCAATCTTTCATTGGGTTTTTTACTTTGGGTCAAAATTTTACAAATAACTGAGAAGTGTAAGGTAATGACCGCCTTGTATAGATTTGGACGTTTCCCTGTTTTCCTAACTTCTAAATGAAATCGAATCGAGGTGTTACATTACATTAAAAACGAACTAGCTTTCGCCGCGACTCCGTCTGCGTAGATTAAAAAAAATAAGGTGAGTAGCCTATGTGTTCTTCCAGACTATCCCTTACATCTATGCCAAATTTCATCAAAATTCATTTAGCCGTTTAGGCTACAAACTCTAACATCCATCCATCCATCTAAACTTTCGCATTTATAACATTAGTATGATTATTATACGACTATCATTCACGTTTATTTATCAGGTGACGGCACCGATTTTCCAACGCATTGTGGGGCCATCTTATTCCATAACTATCTATTCCCGTACAGCTTTCCATGAAATTATAAAAAAAAGACTTTTTTTTATTGTTTACATGTCAAAATTACCGTTACCATAATAACCTTGCTTTCTTAATGTTGGCTGCTTGTAGTTTATGGTCCCTTCCCCACATTAGGGTTTTTATCTAAAATATTTACCCCCTGAGTTTAATGGCGTGAAAACATAACCTAAAGCGTGTCTTAAGTGTAGGGCTTTTTATTAAAAAAAAACATTCAAAAATATGCTGTAATTGCTGACATCTTAGGTAACAAAGAAGTGTGTGTTTACGCTTTATTATATTATAGTGTAGAAGTATAGATAGATAGATATAAATGAAGGTGGACCTCCGATAGGTATAATAAGTTTGTTATGACAATATGCAACTCGCAAGCTTGTACTCACATCTTTATGAATAAGTTTCGAAACCAAACCGAGTTGATTCAACAGTTCAAAGTTGTTATAACATCTTCTCAGTCTAAGAGTAGATTCTGGACGAAGGCATATCAAAATACGTCGAATGTTGTAAAAACATTTCAAACAAACACCGGAAGTTATATATTGATTTACATTTTAATTAATCAAGCGAGCATACATTATTACAAAGAGTAGATATATACAGAGATATCAGAATTTTAGTGCGCGCGTACACCTTTGACTAAACTATTGTTCAGCCGCGCTTTGATTCCAATGAGCTTATATGGAGACACGTACATTACGCTGTTTTCAATTGTGCAACTAAACAGTTGAATTGGCTACGAAATGGCACAAGAATTGGCAACGAAATCGCACAACAGTTGTACGATAGTTTAGTCAAAGTTGTGCACTCGCTCTAAACCTCTATTTATGGACGATTTTTACTGATATAAATGAAAAAACATTATTTTTTTGACGTGAAATTATAAATCGACGGAGAGTCTGAAATAAGATGACTCATTGTCACGTTCCACCTGAGCGTGCGAGCGAGAGCGCAAAGAGCGACAGAGAAACAAAATTGTTGTAAGCGTTTGACATGTTATGTTATTATCTAAAACATACTTTTTTTTAAATATCACCTTCTAGATTTCGGAAAGATGACGTATTTGAGTTGCTAATAAAAGAAAACGCATTTAATTTTTTGTCTGTTTGTCTGTCCGTAAGCCGCGTTTGTTCGGCAGCAACGGCTGGGCCGATTTTGACCGGACTTTCACTGAAGGGTAGCTGACGTAGATGGACATATTATAGGCTTTTTTAATTCCGAGCAGTCAAAATGGCGACCAGACCGCTATCTCTGGAACGGGTGGATCTATTTAGACGGGACTTTGATTGGAAGGATTGTAAAAAGTAGATGCACGCGGGGGATGCAATGACATAGACGCTCATTTTTTTTTAAATTCCACGCGATCGAAGTTTGCTAGCGTCAGCTCGTGTGGAATAAATTCGGTATTAATTTGTTAGCAGACAAGTTTTCTAGTTAGTTATAGAAAAAGTAGATCTGGTGTATTATAATTAGAAATACTCCGTAAAATTGTCGGTAGAAATGTTTTCTTAGCGCAAAGTAAACTCACACGTTCGTTAAGATAACTTAAAACGAACAAACTGTAGCAAAAACTCATTTTATATTATCTTTTGGAATCTCTTATTGTTTTAGCAGACGTTTCAGCGGAGGGTTAAGTTAACTAAGATAATATACATGTGTTAAACTTTCCAACATCAAGATAAGAAGAAGCGAAAATAGATTAAGTTAAGAAAAACTGGGCTAAAGTGAAACAGTTGGTTAACACAGATATTAATAATACCAACATATTAAAGGTCTTATTAAATGAACTTCATATTTCATTCAATTTACCGAAACTCAAACAACAAAACAAATGAGCGTTACATTTTCTTCGCGCTGCCTAATATTACTTTACTTGCTTTGTGGACAAATATATACATGCAAGTAAAACGGCATTAACTAGAATGCTAGTTACTGGCACTGGTATGGAACATGACGTGTCATTGTAAGGTTTGGACCTTCTCGCTTCAACCCCTTCATTAACATATATATAAGTAGCTGTCACAAAAAATGTTCTAGTAACTTGTAAGCCAGAAGCGTTCACATAAGTCTATTGCAGACACGTGCCCTTTGTACCAGCAACTG